CTACGGCTGATACAACTATCACTTCTGACAGACAATCAACCGTAACGGAAGTACAACCATCAGAAGCAAGTAACGATAATACAGCAAGTGATGATAATGCAGCAACAATAACTGATGTCCATGCTACAAATGAAAACGGTGCCACAGCTGTAGATGGTGCCACACCAGATGTACAACCATCAGAAGCAAGTAACGATAATACAGCAGAAACAACTGATGTACATGCTACAGAGGTGAATGTTTTCACTGTCGACGAAATGGCATCAGGATCAAGTACGGATTCAAGTAACGATAATACAGAGGCAATTGCAGATTCCCATACTATAATTAACGATAATGGTGAAATATCCGACGTACATCCATCAGAATCAAGCAATGATAACACAGCAGCAACCCCAGATACATTTGCTTCAAATATAAATAGTGCCACAGTTGACGAAATGTCATCAGGATCAAGTTATGAAAATACAGAAGCGATAACAGATTACCATGTTACAAATGAAAATGGTGGTATGACCGATATACATCCATCAGAAGCAAGCAATGATAATACAGCAGCAACATTAGATATTCAAGCTACAAATGAGAATGATGTCACAGGTGACGGAATGGTATCAGGATCGAGTGATGATAATACAGAAGCAATAACAGACTCCTATGCTACAAATTCAAATGATGGCATAACCGAAGCACAGCCTTCAGAAGCAAACAATGATAATACAGCAGCAACACTAGATATTCAAGCTACAAATGAAAATGGAGTCACAGGTGACGGAATGGTATCAGAATCGAGTGATGATAATACAGAAGCAATAACAGACTCCTATGCTACAAATTCAAATGATGGCATAACCGAAGCACAGCCCTCAGAAGCAAGCAATGATAATACAGCAGCAACACTAGATATTCAAGCTACAAATGAAAATGGATTCACAGGTGACGGAATGGTATCAGAATCGAGTGATGATAATACAGAAGCAATAACAGACTCCTATGCTACAAATTCAAATGATGGCATAACCGAAGCACACCCATCAGAAGCAAGCAATGATAATACAGCAGCAACACTAGATATTCAAGCTACAAATGAGAATGGTGTCACAGGTGACGGAATGGTATCAGGATCGAGTGAT